TTTCACTCAGCAGGTTTAATGATAACAGCTACAGCTGGGAACAAGGAACAAGCAGTTCAAAAAAAAAAGGCTTGCAGGCCCCTTTTTATAAGAAATGTTGCAATACAATCATATGGGCTACAATATCAATAACTGCCAAGGCCTACATCACTGCAACTAGCAATAAATCTAACATTCCTTAGACAGTATGTCTCCAATGTAACCACCCGTTTCGTTAACTTTCATCAGTTTGCCATCTCAATAATAGGACCTCAGGAAGTCACAGCACTCTGGGACATACTGGTGCAGATCTCTGCATGCCAATGGGCTATAATCCATTTCCCTCTCACAGTAACTCTCGTTTGCTTCTCCGGCAATTCCCCTTCTCAAATGAGTGATAGGTAAATAGACCTATTGATCTATGGATTATCTGTAAAGAGCACAGCACAAGTTCCTTGTCATGTACACTGCTTCTCATTCAAAAAATTAGGATGAATTAGTCATATTAGGGATAAACCCTTGCTCTGACTCATTCACCTGTGTGCAAAAACTTCAGCTTGAGATATTGAGCTCTGTAAACAATATTATTACATCAGTAGGTAATGAAATGTAGGAAACATGTAAATATTAGCCGAAAGCTCCACTACCTCACTGCCACTGAAAATATGACTTATTCATATCCATCCTGTGTGCACAGTTTTTAGGAAGGGTCTGTTTCTGGAGGCAGTAAGCTACTAGTGAGTTGATTCACAGGTTCAAGATGAGACACTTTAAAGTCTGTGGATACCTCTGGCCAAATTTTTTTAGGGAGGTCCCAACCCTAGTGATTAATGGAGAATAGAATGACAGCCTGATGAGGACTGGGTCTGAGCAGGCAATTGAAATGTATTGGCACAGTTTTCTCTTTGCATTTTACTTCCATGGCTTATACACTCTAACATACTTGGGAATATTGGAACCCTGTGAGCCCGAGATTGTGCAGACAATAAGAAAGGTATTTTTGGCTACTATACTTGTGTTTTAGAGGTGTGGTTTGATAGCGGCAGGCCTGTTCAGGGGAATCACTGTGTGGTAATATGACCCAAAAAACAAACAGCACTGACTTAGTCACACATTCACATAATAGGCCTAAGTTGGGCATACATGGCAATATGTATTCAACACACTGGTAGCCATGACAATATTTGGGCAACACACTGCCAATTCTGAGAATACATTGGTAACACATGAGGGCAATTTATCTCTGCTAGAAAAGCGTTGCTTCTAAGCGGTAACAGGACAGGCGAGCATTGAGTGAGCACAACTTCGCTGTTTGCATGGACTCAGGGAGGTATGGTGTGGTTATTACAGGGGTGGGCAATTCATTTTCTCAAGGGGCCACATGAGATACTGGGACTGTTGTGGAGGACCTACACATTATTTTGAAGGTGCGTAAGCACACACACATATGTAGATTGATTAATCTGATAGGGGGCAAATAATGTAGAGGGCACTCTGATAGATGCAGCTAATAATTAGTTGTCCCCATCAGAGTGCCCCCCTAAATTGATTGGGACAATCGGAGTAGTTATTTTTGTAGTTAATGTAAGGGACCACTCTGATGGGAACAACCAATGTAAGCGCACACCCTGATAGGGACAACTCATTATTCGTTGTTCCCATTAGCGTGCCCCTTACATTGTTTGTCCCCTTTAAAGTGCCCCCATATATTCTATTATTTTCCCCAAATCCCTTATTTTTCTACTTTATTAGCAGGCCAGAGGCAGGAGCCAGGAGGTCAATAGGCAGCAGGAGAAGATGGAAAATATACTCTTTTGTCCTCCTGTAAGGCTGGGGGCTGGGGACACATTTGACGTTGCTGGTTGCTAAGACCATCTGGTGGTCCTAGCAACCGATGACTGTAGAAGAGGATGACACCTGGTTGTTAGGGCACCAGTGGTCCTAGCAACCAATGACTGAAGAGGAGGGGGCTTGAGCTGGACCATAGCTTGCAGTGGATGCACTGGCCTTGGAGGCCGGCACATCCACTGTCAGCCAGCCATAACCGAGCGCAGGGCGGTGATTGGTCTGTGTCTGGACCTTTGGCTGGACATGAACAGCCAAAAGGCTGAATATGGCCCGCGGGCCGTAAAATGCCCAGGTTTGGGTTATCATGTGGCTTACAGGGCAAGGTCTGCTTCAGTGTTACTGATTGTATTGATCCCAAACATTTTCAATAAAAAAACTGATCCCAAACATTTTCAACAAAATATTTACCGAGACCCGCAGTGGAGAACGGAGTACAGCACTTGCGCCGGCGAGACGTCGCACTGTCGCTGCCACATTCCCGCACGTAAGGTCGGAGAGCTGGTCGTAAGTGCGAGTGGTCGCAAAACAGGTAAGTTGTAAAGCGAGGAATGTCTGTATGACATGTTTCATCTCCAGTACAAATACATAAAAGGGGTGTCCTTAAATTCATAGAATAAATAACCGTCTCCTCCCAGTCCCCCTGCCTTCTTCCTGCATGGTGGCAAATGTATTTTGCATGCAGTGATTCACTGTGGCGTTGTCACCCTCTAGCCACTTGGACTACAGGGCTGTGTCTATGCACAATGAGGAGGAGTATTGGCACTGACCCAGCTGATAACTCCTACAACCTCCATTGGCAATAACTGCTGGGCACAAATCCAATGGGCTGCCCTGTGCCTGAATGAAAGGAAATCCCGGGGCGCCATCTTAGATTGCTCCTCCAAGCTCCAGTGGAATAAGGAAGGTTAGTAGGATGACATATACAGGGGAGGGGATTATTTTGACTACAAAGGGTCAATTAAAGCTGAACTCCATCAATTACACAAAAGACTACTCCATACAGTGGGGCCCTTCCAAATTAAGTATTACACCGTGTTCCTCTACACCAGGGGTGGGCAAACTTCGGCCCCCATCTGTGGTAAAACTAAAAATCCCATTGTGCATCTGTCTTTGGGAGTCATGCCTGTAGCTGTTAGAGTCTCACAATGCCTCATGGGATTTGTATTTCCACATCAGCTGGAGGGCCAGAGTTTGCCCACCCCTGCTCTACACCTAGACCTAACAAGCATTTAACCCTTGTAGTGCACCCACCTACACTGCAAGGGTATTTTTTTTTTTACTTTTTTAATTCCCCGGAGTTCAGCTCCAGTACATGACACTGCAGAGCACTATAGATTTTCTGAAGAGACGGCACCCCAACAGAACTAATTTCCTTATAGACACACAGGGTTCTAAGTTTTCATCCAGTGTTTACACAACTTTCACCCAGAATATTATTTTAATTGCGAAAAATGTCTTGAAAACACTGATTGAAAATTTGTGGTTGCTGATGGAGGTGGGGCTAAGGGGGGCGGGGTGACATTGCTCTGTGTCTTTAAGCTATGTATGCAAATTTCAACTAGAGCTATTGAGCTCTGTAAGCAGCAGGCATTGCTCAACAAAATGAAGGATACTCAGGAAAACATGACATGGGTGACATTGAAAACGTTGAAAACACTAACTTAAAACTTGTGGTTGGCGATGGAAGTGGGGGTAATGGGGGGTAGTTGTCGCTCTGCCTCTTTAAGCTATGTGTGCTAATTTCCGCTTGAGCTATTGTGCTCTGTAAGCAGCAGGCCTTGTTCAACAAAACAAAGGATACCCAGGAAAACATGACATGGACCGAACCACCATACATGTGTATAAATATCTGCTAGCACTTACTGGGAACCACCTTGTAAAAATTCCCCATTGAGCAGAGTTTCTCAGTTTAATGATGACCAAGCAATTGTGATATTGTCATATTTTCACCATGGCAGGATGGCTGGGATGAAATCCCTAGCAGCAAAACTCTCATCACCCTAAACAGTAACAGATCCAGTGTCACTTGTTACATATTATCTGTGGAAATGTTTTCAGATGACAACAAACACATTGAAATGATGTCCTGCTATACATTAGTGTAAGGTCAAAGCCATCTTAGACTGAGGTCTCCATTCAGGTCATGTGACAGGAGTGAGGCAATGCTGGCGAACCTATGCCACGTGTGCAGCAGAGGGCAGGGGTGCCAAAATCCTCTTGCCCGACGCCCAGGACATGCAGTTCCAGGTTACGGGCGGGTAGTTTTTTTCTACATTTACCCCTACTTTGGGCAAGCAGGGCTAAATGTACAGCAGGGAAGGCGCCGCTCGTTTAGTGCGAGTGATCTCGCCGATCACTTGTACTAAGCCTACTGGTCCACCCCTCCCAGCCCCTCTCCATGGTCCGCCCCACCACTGGCTGCCTCTCTCCCCGCTGGCTGTCTCCCTCCCTGCCGTGGTTTTCAGGTTCCCCTGCTCTTCTGGGGTGCCCCGGGACCACAGTAAAGTAGTTCAGGTTGGAGAGCGGGGAGCAGAGCGAAGTTCTCTGCCCCATGTAAACACTGAGACATGAGAGCTGTACTCACAGCCTTTCCATCTCAGCTGTCACAGGGGAACCAGCACAGTGCTGTGCTCTAACTCCTGTATTGGGGGTGACAGGCTCAATAAAGAGAACCTGTCACCTACAAATGCTGTCACACAGGAGCTTGTTAGCGCCTGTGTGATAGCAATAATTAATAAGAAATAATAATTAAAAATAAAAAAATAAAAATAGATAAAAAAGTAAAAAAAATAGTAAAATCAATAAAAATAAAGTAAAATATAAAGATAAATAAACATTGAAAAAAGTTAAAAAAAATGATACAAAACCAAAAAAATAAGAAAACAAGAAAAAAATGTTAAAATTTAAAAAGGCCGTGATGCTGAACATTTTTTAAACCCCAGTGCTCAAACTAAAACATAATACCAAGCTTATTTTAAGTGTTGGCACTTTGAGATAAATACATTGATTTTGCGTCGCAGTTTGGGCATTTGACCTCAAAAACGTTAGCCACCACTGGCATAGGCGATCACATGACATACACCCAGACGTCCAGCAGGGGGCGCCGGAGCAGAGGGAGCAGTACTTGGCGCACTGAGACTGCGCGGCGTCTGGTTACCTAGCAACAGAGACTTCCGCCATAAACATCTCAGCATGGAGAGCCCGGAGGAGATCGGAGCCAATTTCATGGTGTTCGCCGGGTCCTCGGAGCGGGATGTCTTGTGCAGTAAAATCTTCTGGAGCTCCCTGACTCTGCAACCACCGCTGGAGTCCAGGCTGGTGTCCGGGAACATGGAGCAGAGACTTCGCCCGGCAGGGGAGCCCAGGCTGCGTGAGTGATTGACAGCTAGGGCAGGTGGTACAGGGATCAGTACACACCCAGATCACAGAGACATCCTGGGGTGACAGGGGAGGGGGTACAAAGATCAATACACACCCAGATCACAGAGACATCCAGGGGTGACAGGGGAGGGGTACAAAGATCAATACACACCCAGATCACAAAGACATCCTGGGGTGACAGGGGAGGCGTACAAGGATCAATACACACTCAGATCACAGAGACATCCTGGGGTGACAGGGGAGGGGTACAAGGATCAATACACAACTAGATCACAGAGAAATCCACGGGTGACAGGGGTACAAGGATCAATATATAATCCAAGCACACAGACATCCTGGGGTGACAGGAGGAGAGGTACAAGGATCAGTATACAGCCCAAGCACACAGACATCCTGGGTTGACAGGAGAAGGGGTACCAGGATTATTATACAGCCACACCAAAGACACATCCCGAGGTGACAGGAGGAGGGGTACAAGGACAATTTACACCCCAAGCACAGAGACATCCTGGGGTGACAGGAGGAGGGGTACAAGGATCAATATGCACCCCAAGCATAGAGACATCCTGGGTGACAGGAGGAGGACAATTTACACCCCAAGCACAGAGACATCCTGGGGTGACAGGAGGAGGGGTACAAGGATCAATATGCACCCCAAGCACAGAGACATCCTGGGGTGACAGGAGGAGGGGTACAAGGATCAATATGCACCCCAAGCACAGAGACATCCTGGGGTGACAGGAGGAGGGGTACAAGGATCAATATGCACCCCAAGCACAGAGACATCCTGGGTGACAGGAGGAGGGGTACAAGGATCAATGTGCACCAATGTGTACAAGGATCACTACACACTTACAGAACAGAGACATCCAGGGGTGACAGAAGAAGGGGTACAAGGAGTAATATACACCCCAAGCATGGTGACATCCTGGGGTGATAGAAGGAGGGGGTACAAGGATCAGTAGACATTTAGAGCATAGAGAAAAATTTTGGGGTGGTAGGATGGAGAACAGAGGGAAATTCCTTTTTGCATCTCTTTGGTGAAAAAGAAAACAAAAGATAAGCGTTTGGGTGAAGTGAATGCATGTGTAGTAGATAAAGAAAGTCATTGTGGAAAATATTTTGTGGCATCGTTCTAGCTGCTCACATGTTTTGATTTTTTTTTCTTTGTAATTTTTTTTCTAAGTTATGTAGAATTTAAATTTGGAAGAATGTGTTTATAAATGTGAATGACGGAGAGATTTATCTCTATTTAAGTAAAATGTGTAACCACTTCTAATTAATTTGATTAGTACATGTGCACTTTGCAGCCAGTATGGCCTTCTTACATGTGTCTATTTGGAGAAAACCAGAGCAACCCAAGAAATATTATTACAGCCTAGGAATTTGTACAAAAAATTCCTTTTAAAAACTCCTTATTTATGCACCATGCACCCAAACGTTCTATAAAAGCTCAGCTCCAGCCAAATCTTTCCATTTGTGTTGAATAGATCTGGGTGAGGTTATTGACATCTGTGTCATTGCTGGGGAGATTTCACTTATATCAGGATAGGAAGTGATGAAAAATCGTCAAAATCGTGAAAAGACAAAATTAAAATTTACTGGAGTGATGAAGATTAGAACATGCGACGGTGGGAATGATGTACTAAAAGGGTGGAGCATGTGTACTTGTGAAGTGAACTTTCTCTTATTTTAGTGAATAAAGTGTCTTATTTTAGTGAATACAGTGGAGCAAAATTAACATTTACTTTGCTTTGCCTACACAAGCAAAATAAAAATAAAAAGTTTTTGCTTGCACATGACTGGATCAGTCAACATGCATTATCCCATTCACTATGTTAGGTGAATATTCACTTTGCAAAGTAGTAAGTCAACCCCACCGATTTATTGCTTGCTGTGCTTTCTTCTCCTGATGACAGCTGTACCCCCATCACTTGTATAGCCGTCTCTCCACTGTTTCTAAAACTAAAAAAAAAATAAAGACGGAAGGCTTTATACAGGAACTGAACTCTGGATGCTGTACCCAAAAAAGCAGGTAAAGGGTAAAGTCTAGTCATCAACACACTGTAGGTGCAGCCGATTTTTCTCCGCAAGGCCCCATTCAATAGCGAATGGGGCCGAGCAGGTAAGTCTAACAAATTTCTCTGTGAGAGTCATGCAAACAGCAGACCATTCGCATGTAATTGGACTTGCTGTGATTACCTGCAGACAACTGCCTAAAGCTGGCCATACACCTTACAACCATCGCACGACTTTCGTTGTCCGATGGTTGTAAGGTAATTAAAATCTCGTACGATCTGCCTATCTTGTACAGGCAGATCGTACTTGCGAACATCGCAAGCCCTCCCCGCTGAGGGGAGAGCTTCTGATGATTTCAATGCTGAGCGTGCAGTGTGCGCTTGCCCACACCGCCCGTTCGGCATTTGTCTTCCGAGCACGCCACTAACCCGCCGAAAATTGTACTATTCTCAGTGGGTTTTCGAGCGTGCTCGGAAGACAAAAGACGTGTGATTGTACAGTAGAAAGGTCGCACGCCTTCCATACACCTGCCGATTATCGTACAATCGCGTTATCACCCGCGATTATCATACGATAATCGGCAGGTGTATGGGCACCTTTAGAATATAAATTGTTCACATTAGTCTCACAGAGAAATTAAGAATCACTTAATTGCTTGCAATTGGGACCTTACTGAATTACCATGCCTTGTTCTGCAGTGAGTCTCTGTGTGCAGTTGGTCATCTTGGTAGAGGCAAGGTTTTGCCTCCTCATTTCAGAGCCTCCAGCAAAGAGAACAGTAAGCAGCACAATAATAACATCACCAAATCCCACTTCAAATCTCCTGGGAGATATACAAATCTCACGCTACAGATATACAGCTATGAGGCTGTAGGCACGGTTTGGAACCCATGTCATACGCTGGGCAGCAAAATCCCATTTATTTTATGGTGCAGTACATTTAACAGTTTAGAGGCTGCCTTTGAGCTGCTTTGCATTTCTTTTGATGCAGCATGTCCTGTTGAGGTGCGTTTGAACTAAAGGCAGAACTCTACATTATCAGTTCAAGCACAGCTGCATGGGTTCAAATGGAAAATGCATAATTTGGCTAGAATGCTTGCCAGCATTAACTCTAAAACTGATTGCTGCAATACTGATAATATCAAATAACATTAAGGGGCAGCCAGACTAAAATTAAAAAAATGTAAAATAAATGTCAAAAATGATATTTGACCTCTCCAAAATTCATACCAGACCCTTATCCCAGAAAGGGGTCTGGTGTGGACTCCCCTTAGAATCTGGAGTCCCCTTCACACCAGAGCACCAATTTACACCAGAACCCCCCTTCACATCAGGAGCCCCCCTTAACATCAGGAGCCTAGCCCCCCCCC